CAGCGGAGGACTTGTTGCATCACATCAAAGTAAGTGAATCTTTTTGTTTACTACTATTTAATCTTTTCTTTGTGTATGTTGATATTAAATAAAGCATATTACAGTACATTTTTATATATGAAAAGTACTCAAATAGAATATTCCTTTAAATCAATGAAGAATTGTGTGTGTGTGTGTGTGTGTGTGTGTGTCCTTATTTATGCTACTTTGTGAGGCCCATTTTTCCAACTTATACTACATTGTGAGGCCCAACTGCTCCTTATGGGGCCCAAAGCCCGGGCCCCATAAGAAGAAGTCCCGTTGGTGGGTTAGGGGCTAGGTTTAGGACTAAGGTGTGAATTGAGGATGTGTTAGGTTTAGGGTTAGGTATGTACTGGTAATGGTTAGGTTATGGATAAAGGTCATGTTTAGGCTATAGAAATGAATGAAAAATGAATGGAAGTCAATGCAAAGGCCCCACAAAGATAGCAAAACAAACCTGTGTGTGTGTGTGTGTGTGTGTGTGTGTGTGTGTGTGTGTGTGTGTGTGTGTGATATTTACATACATAACTTGATTTGAACACCTGTGTGTCTAAAAATTAAATATCAAATCCATACTGTTGTCACAGGAATGTGTTGCCAAACTGAATATGAGACAGCTTGTTTCCATCAGTATGGACGGCCCCAATGTTAACCTGAAGCTGGGAGACCTTCTCCAGAAGGAGCATGCAGAGCTTTATGGAGCTCAACTAGTCAAGGTTGGAAGCTGTGGGCTTCACACCATGCACAATGCAGTGAAGGCAGGCTTTTCCATGTGGCAGCTGGACAAGCTTCTGCGTTCACTCCACTTCCTCTTCGACAATGTTCCTGCTAGGAGAGAGGACTTCACTGCCTTGACTGGGTCCACAAGTTTTCCATTACCATTCTGTGGCCACAGATGGGTTGAAAATGTCCCTGTGGCAGAGAGGGCTGTTCAAGTCTGGCCAACAGTTATGAAGGTATTATGTATGTTTACTATTTACCTACTGTTAAATTTTTTTATTGGGCTACATTTCTTTTAAAGTACTATTTCTGTATATATCTATCATAAATTTGTTATGTAGCAAATATGCTTGAATGTTTTCCAGGAGCTTACATAATGATTTCACTGTGAGAGTTTGGGGAATCATTTTTTACTATTCTCCTAAATCAGCATTTTTTTTTTCATCATCCTGGAGAACCCAGTATAATGTTCTTGATTGCTTTCACAATTTAAATACAGTATATATATATTATGTAATAATTGATTTCAACAGTATGTGGATGCTGTTAAGCAAAAGAAGCTCCCCAACCCAGGCACTGCCTCTTACGACACCATTCAGGCGGCACAAGCTGATCCCCTCATTATCGCCAAACTCCAGTTCTTCCTGGCAATATCAAGAACATTTAGTCCATTCCTAACCAGTTACCAGACAGATGAACCAGTTCTGCCCTTCTTTGCCAAAGATCTGAGTGAGCTGCTAAAGGTAATGGTTACAGTAATCCTAATTCAACTAAGTCTATATTAGGTTCTGCCACTGATCATTTATTATTATTTAATTGTTTTTATTTATTTTTTGCTGTATCAGAGTCTTCTGAGGCGCTTCGTGAAGTGGGAGCTCCTGCAGGACCTCAGTGCCCTACAGCTAACCAAATTTGATGTGGCTAATGAAGCAAATTGGGTTCCAGTAATGAATGCTGATATAGGCATGGGTGCTGAATCTTTCCTAAAGGTCATTTTCATATGTTCTATTTGTAAAAAAAAATATGCTTGTTGTGCTGTACACCAATCTGACCAGTACATGTTAAGAGATTTATAGTTTCTCACATTCTCTGTTCTACTCATAATTATAATAGTTGTTACTGTTGTAGTAGCAGTAGTTACATAGTTTTAAAAAGAGAACATTTTTTGAAAATTAATTTATTCCTTTTTACATCATGTGTTTAAAGTTCACATTCTTCTTGTCACTTCAGAGCAAGCCAGGAAGCAGTGTAGGGGAGCGCTCTGTGCTCATCTTTAGGAGAGAGTGCATACAAAGCTTGGTTACCATGATAAAGAAACTGCAGGAGAAAAGCCCCTTGAAGTTTCCAGTGGTCAGGGCCATAGCATGTTTGGATCCCACAAACATGCACAAGGATCCAGGGTGGTGCCTCACAAAAATGAAGACCACAGTCCAGAAACTTCTGCAGGATTGTCAGTTGACAGGAGGCATCTCAGCTGGTAGGAAAAATATAGAATAAGGAGGTCAGAAGCAGGAGGGCCACTATATGTCCTTTTATATTGGCCCTCTTCTTTATTTGAATGCAGCTACTTCTATCTGATGAAATTCTGCAACATAGGTTAACTGGTGCATTTTGCTGTTAGATGATAGCGTAAGCTCCCACATGCTTTATAATTAAATAAATTAAATACTTTTGAAAGATATAATGAATCAGAGGGTCAACAAAAGTGTTATTTAGGTTCAACAAAAAAGGTTGAATCATGTCATCTGGACTTCGTTTTTTGTTAAAAAGAAACGTTTCGCCCTTCATCCAAGAGGCTTCGTCAGTCTGAGGCCTAGCCATCTGGTATTACCCAGAAGCCACCCTGACTCTTGTGTTTCAAGCCTGCCTCAGATACCCCTGAAGTCTGGCCTTTTCACTAATGGTTTCAAAAACACAAAGTTTGTTTTCTCAGTCATCCAGGTATATAACAACAAAAAAGGTTGAATCATGTCATCTGGACTTCGTTTTTTTGTTAAAAAAGAAATGTTTCGCCCCTCATCCAAGAGGCTTTGTCAGTCCAGATGACAAACGAAGTCCAGATGACATGATTCAACCTTTTTGTTGTTATATACCTGGATGACTGAGAAAACAATCTTTGTGTTATTTAGGTTGTTCAAAACAAACTATTTTTGTGTCAAACAACCAGATCTCGCCTCCTTGTTATTCGGTGGACAACTAAGATAAAAGACCTAGATTAAAGTTCTCTGTCGCTGATGTCCATCAAAATGAAACTGAGAAAAAAACTCATTAAAGCACAAGGTTTAAGGATTAAACTGAAGTGTTTTCCTCCAATAAAGAGTCACAATAAAAGTTTTATCCAGTCAGAGCAGGGTGGGGTGTATTGTCTGATTGACAGCAGGTGAGCTCAACGAGGAAGTTCTACTCAAGCAGCTCCTGAAACTGGCAACCTGGATGACTGAGGACATTTGTATTTTACATTTGTATGTTAGGATTGCATTTGTAGTAAACTTTGCCTACAGAACAATATACTTATTAAATTATATTTTTCTTAAGATCGTTTGCCAATTTTTGTAAAGGACAAGCAAAATGTTTTGCGGACAACCAGGTGTCTACCCCTGTGAATGACGAACTAAATGAATGGTATGAAATTTAACACATCAGTAATTACTTGTTTAATTTCCCCTGTCGCAGGTGACGTGATCATCCAACAGTTTGAGAGCTTTCTCTCTGTTCAGGCTAGAGATGAACGTTTCCTCGCCTTTCAACCACTGCAGCAGCGGGTTGATGTGTTCCTGCACTCAGCAATCGGCAAGTCTCACCCTGAGCTCTCAAGGTTCTGTCAGATCCTCCTACTACTCTCCCATGGACAGGCCACAGTGGAGCGTGGATTCTCAGTTAACAAGCAGGTCGAAACCTGCAACATACACGAAGAGACGATGGAGGCTCTGAGGTTGATCTGCGACAAGGTCAGTGTCTGTGGGGGTGTTCTGCAGGTACCTCTGACCAAGGAGCTGCTGGCTTCTGTTGCCTCTGCAAGGTCAAAGTACAGGATTTACCTGGAACAGCAACGAAAGAAGAAAGAAACTTCCACACAGAGCCTTAAGAGGAAAGCAGCTGGAGCTGAGTTAGAAGAGCTGAAAAAAAAGAGAAAACTTCTACAAGAGGTGTGCGATTCTCTGCAAAAAGATGCAGATCAGTTGGCAGAGCAGGCAGAGGGAAAGTCAGGTTCTTTAATGGCCCAACTGATCACCAAGTCCAATGTCTTGAGAAGGAGACGTAAAGAAAAACTCAGTGAGCTGGTGCAAACTGAAGAGTTGCTGGAATGCAAAGCAACTGCACTGAGGCACATGTAATGATTACTGTGTTTATTTCTTATTCGCCATTGTTCAACCAAGTTACTTTAAAATAACTACGAGTCTTGTTGTAACCTAAGCTATATTTTCTTAAACCTAGTCGTGGTTCAGTTTCTTCTTTTGAATTTTTTTCTATCCACTGTATCTCAGTTCTGTTGTATGTTTGAGATTCACGGATTTAATTGAAAACAACAGCAGTTTTGTAAATCAAAGATTTGTTGCTTAATAAAACAAAGTGACGATAAGGTCTTGAATTTATTTTGGAAGGTCTTGAAAAAGTCTTGAAAAGGTATTGAAATTAACTTCATTATTCCTGCATATACCCTGGTAAAATAAAAAGATATTTTGTGTATTTTGTTCATCGTTAATAATCAAATTATACGGTAAGAGTTACTTTTTAAACCCGCTAATTGACTACCAGTACTACTACTGTCATTACAAAACATGCAAAATGTAACATCATGGAATGAGAGGTACGGTACATATCACTTAAAAAAATTTATTGTCACCATTTGTAAACAATTCAGCGTCAATATATTCTGTGACTCGGATTTAATCCACAATCAAAAACTGCAGAAGATTAGCCTCTTTTAGTCAGGACAGTTTTCAATTAACAAAATTTTCCAAATGCCAGGCTGAAAAGAAATTAAATGTAAAAGTTTACATTTTTAGTAGTTGTCTTCAAAAAATGTGGAAATGTGGAAGTTTAGGCAAAAATGTGCAGTACGTCAACAGTCCACAAAGCAAAAACTTGTAGTACCTTTTCTCCAACAGAACAGTCCAAAAACAAAACCTTGCAGTGTTCTACAATGAACAGTCCACAGAGCAGAAACTTCAAATAATTTTTCCTACTAACAGTCCACAAAACAAAAACTTGCAGTACCTCTTCATTGAACAGTTAGAGTCCACAGAGAGAGTCCTTATTTAGGTGTCACACCACTCGTGATCGGTGATTTCCTGTATCAGGGTGAGGACTCGGGGGTTCAGGTTGAGACGACGCTTTGAGTTTTTGTTCTCCACTTTGGTTCCCTTTTCTGGATTTATCCGAAAAAAACACCTGTTAAAAGAAAAGACGACCATTATAATTATTTTGAAGTTTCAGTAAAGTAAAATACATACTGTTTTATAGTATTACAAATTGAAAGCAAGCCATATTTATTTACCTTTGAAGAAATTCCAGAGTTGAAGCCAGCTCAGACGGATAATGGATGTTGAAACAGTAATAGCTCCCGAACATCAGGCACAACGCAGAAATGAAGGAGGGGATGTTTGTGTTGGTAAGGGTCCGGTCCAGACTCAGCATGTACCTTGTTGAGGAATAGCATGACTGTCCTATAAAAAAAAATAAAAAATCATTGAGCAGGGTATATATTATTAGGTCCTATACTCACATGATAAAATCCATTAGTAGTACAACGTAATAAATTAGATATGAAGCAGACTTACCACAGACAATGATGGCTGGCGTTACAGCCACTTGCTCCAGTTGCACATCTTCTGCCAGACTTGTTTCATCTACATAGAAGAACATGGACTCCTCCTTCTCATCAAAGTAGTTGAGGAGAAGCAGGACCATCTCTTTCACATCCTCTGAGCAGCCACTCTGCTGTCCCCGCAGCCTCTGAAGTCTTGCATAAGTCTGAAGGAACTTCTTATTCTTCTTGACACAAACAGTGGTCAGGTAGTTGAGGAGCCTTTTTCCCTTCAGATCCAAGTTGCGTATGAAGGTGTCCTTGAGGTTGATCCCAGTGAGTTCCTTGAAGTGGATCGACATGCCAATTTTATCAAACAAAAATGGCCACTCCTCTCTGAGGCACTTGATACTTTTACCCTGGTTGACATGTTGGCGCTGCGTGTAAAAGGTGGACTGCATAAAGCATTTCACCTCCTCTGGATTGGCATCAGACTGTTGAAACATCACCTTGAGTTTTTCCATCTTTTGCTGCTGGCTTTCTTGAGTTTCTTCACGAGGCAGGAATTGTACATTCCACTTAATGCATCCGTAAGTGTCCTGCATTGCTGCTCTCTCTTCTAATGGGATCTCATCTGTGTCATCTGAATTACTCTGTTTTCTTTTTCTCATTTTGGGTGTTGAAGTGCGCCGCACATTTTCAATTCTGTTTTGCAACTGTTTGACAAGGGAATGGTAGCCTGTGCCTACAATGTCTCCATCTATAACATCTTGCAAAGATTTTGGATACTTGGCCACCATTTTCTTTGCGACATCAGTTGAATGCTTTTTACCTACGAGAGGGCATTTTTCCATCATCTCAGTCGCAACAATCCGGACCATCTGTCTCCTGAGTTTTGGGCCTGGTCTTTTCCCCCTCTCCAAAGATTGCATCAGTTCTTCTTGAAATTTAGTCCATGGAATTTCAAAATTGTCCTCCCAGTGTGAGTCAAGCTGTGGGCTGCTGGATGAGGTAGATGCTGAACTTTGGGGTGAAACTGAGAGCAATGACAGCGATTGGGCAGGTGAAGCTTCAACAGATGAAAGAGAGCTGTTTTCAGGGGTCTGGTCTGTAAATTACAGAAGACAAAGAAAAGGTTTACAATGTACAATATAAGAAGATGTCTATGCCTGTTTAGAACATGGTGCATGGGATGCAAAGTGTAAAATAATATGTTTAAACATTTCACTAACACATTTTTCATTACTTAGATCACATTCTGAGTGTTAAAAATTTCTACTAACATTTTATTGTTATTTAACTCACTGCAATATGTTACATTTAAATTTTAAGAAATACATGTAAATATTAATGTCGTCATCATTTTGAGACATTAGCAACTGCTAGCCTTCCAATGCAGCTAAATCTTCTGTACAAGACATTGTCTCAGAACGATGATGTCATATCATGAGTCCAGCACCAACAGCAAAAGCTGCTTTCCTTTCCAAAATACCTAAATGTGAAATTCAACATTTAACTTTCACAATAAGATTTACACAATTAAATTTAGAATTAGTTATTTTTTTTAAACATTTAAATTAGCTATGTCAGAACAGTGAGCTAAATAACAGTTAAACGTTAGTAGAAAATTTGTAACACCCAGAATGTGAGCTCAATAATAAAAAAAAATTAGTGAGAAGTTTTAACTTTTCATTCACTTGGCAACCCATAATTGTGCGGCATTCTTACATTTTTGTTTCCAAACAGAAAGAAGTTTTCTGGCTTGAACAGGTCTTAATACTGTCTTCAAATCAGCCTCCTCTATGAAGCGTAAATCATCGTACGTCTCAACTCCAATGGACTGCAAGTGCTCTTCTAGGATGTCTTTGGTTACTGCTGGAAGTTCTGGTAGGACTTCCATAATGGCATCATGTAAGAAGGTTGGCTCTGAGTCACCCATACTTGTGCTGAAGAAGAAATGTCACCTTCAAACAAAACAGAAAAAAATATATGTAATACAGCAGGAACATGCACCATGTCACACTTGTAATGTTAGTGTATAATATTTGCATTAGCTTCATTTGTACTTTATTTTTCCACAATGCTATGCTTTAGTGGAATGACTTGGTTTCCATCAAGAATGTAGGACACCAAAGGATAGAAATCTGGTAGGTTATCAATGTTAATACACTGCAACCCAAGACTGTCCTTTGTCACCGAATACAAATGGTATTCTGAGAGGAAGGTGGCTTTGTGGGCATCTATCAAAACATACAGCTGTATTATTTTGAATCAAGATGAGTAAAAGTTCACCAAACTCCATGTACTCCTCTTTTCTGCACACAAGAAACTGTCCTTTTTTATATGCAGTGCCCTTGTACTGAATGTCAGTGGTAACTGTAGTGTTGCTTTCTGTAAAAGCAAACTCCCTGACTGCATGTTTAATGCCCTTTTTCCATTAGTACCTGTAGTACCGGTACAGCACGGCTCTACTCTACTTGGTACGGTACAGGTTGTGTTTCCATTATGCTTTCAGTACCGGTTCCAGTGGGCGGGGTTCAAATTGACGTCACCACCTCTCACCAGCTGGTGGCGCTGCGACGCAGAAACTATTTTCAGTACAGTTTGAGAATTTGTTATTTTGAAGTTGTGTGTATGTATGTATGCATGTATGTGTGTATGTACATGTGTATAAATATATATATATATATATATATATATTTATACACACAAATATATATGTACACACACACAAATATATATGTACACACACACACATATATATATATATATATATATATATACACACACACACACACACACATATATATATCATATGTGATATATATATATCACATATGTATATACACACAATTATTTATATATATATGTATATATATACACGTGTATTTATATACATATATATATTTATATATATTCATATATATTTATATACATATATATGTATTTATATATATACATAGATATTTATCTATATATATGTATACAAATTAAAACTCAGATGAACCAGATTCTACAAAAACATTACATTTAAATTTTTATAGGTTTTCATCATCATTTGATGTATTTGCACTCATTGTGTCTACTTTTAATGTTCATTTTAAATGTGTGATTTTCCTTTCGTGTTCACATATATACATTTTATTTTTAGCTTTGCTTTAAAGTTCTTGTTTTGTGATTTGTACATTTGTGAGTTAAAATAAAGTTGAACTGAAGGTTGTCTCTTTTCTTTAAACGTGTTTGAGGGAAATATTTCTGAGATCTAATAGTTTTGTGTCTTTTTATGATTTTCAGCTGAGTTAACAGTCATTAAAGTGAAAACAGGATTTCATGATGAAGCTGGCACCGTTTATTTATTTATTTTTTTTAATCTTCAACGCTAAAATATATATATATATATATATATATATATATATATATTATTTTTTTATGACGATCCTCTCCTCCGGAGACAGGACGGGCAGGCTCATATTCCCAGCTCCAGCTCAGCTGGTGACTCACAGAGGCTGTTCCAAGACCCCAGTTGCGCGTAATCATGATGGCCCGACCCGCGCAGACAGGTGGGCAGAGACGGGTCTGCGACGAACAGTGGAAGCGATTTTAAAAAACATTTTACGTGTAAAAAAAATAATAATCATTTTTAAATCGCTTCAGCAATTTTTTAAAACATTTTTTGTATAAAAACAAAATATTATTTTATTTAAAAATCGCTTCCACTGTCCGCCTGACTGCCGGGTGGGATCGGGATTCAGCCTTCATGATTACGCGCGGCCGGGGTCTGGCAACGTCCATCTGCGAGTCCCCATCTCCAGCTTTGCAGTGACCAGCGGAGCTCTGAGCACACAAAGCTGGTATCCGGAACCCGAGCCTCCGAGTTGGCACATCGAAGGATCTTCCGTGGTGACCAGCTAAACTTGGAGCCGGGGAGATGACGTCCTGCCTGGCCTGGCGCTCCGAGGCTTCGGAGGGAGGATCAGGGTAGACCAGCAGAGCTCCATCCAGCTTGCTCTAAATTATGTTGTTGGCCACCAAGCACAAAAAATGCCAGCAC